CTTCGGGTCGGTCCTAATGCCACTAGCGGATACGACGTGTCATAGGAACTCGACCTCTCGAAGAAAGAACTCGCACTTGGATTGCTTCGCGTACAGCTTCTCCCTCCGCAAGACCTCAAAGACCTTCTGCAAGTGCTGCACGTGCTCCTCTTTCGACTTGGAGAAGATCAGGATGTCGTCTAGGTAAACGACAACGAACGAACCTAGGAACTCCGAGAGGACTGTGTTCATGAGCGTCTGAAACGTCGCTGGGGCGTTGGTCAGTCCGAACGGTAGAACCCTAAACTCGTACAACCCCTGCTTCGTACGAAACGCCGTCTTGTGCTGGTCCTCTGGAACTACGCGAATCTGGTGGTAACCCGAACGAAGGTCGATCTTGGAGAAGACTCTAGCGCCCTGCACTGCATCGAGAAGATCCTCTACTCTCGGCACCGGGAATCTATTCTTGACGGTGGCGGCGTTCAGTGCGCGGTAATCTATGCACATCCGTAACCCTCCGTCTTTCTTAGGCGCGAACAGGATCGGTGCGGCCCAAGGCGATCTAGATGGCTGAATGAACCCCTGTGCTAGGAAGTGCCTAACCTGCTGCGTCATCTCCTCTGTCTCTGCTGGACTCAACCTCCACTGCGGCTTCGCTACTGGCCTGCTCCCCGGCTCCAACTCTATTCGATGGTCTACTGCTCGGCTGGGAGGTAACCCTGGGGGCAACTCGTCAGGGAAGACGTCTGCGAACTCTGCTAACAGTGCACTCACCTCAGCAGGAAGAGTCGTCTTCTCACTAACTGCTGCACTCCCTCCTTTCCCCTCCTCAGCTTCCACCTCCTCAAGGAAAACCGCGAAGATCCGTGCCGCACGCTTCACTAACTGTCGCACACGAACAGCATTAATGATAGCTGTGGATGATGTGGCCCCATCGCTCCACTGTGGCAGCTCCCGGAACTCCCCGTCTACCTTGACACTGCAGCTTCCCTGAGCCCAATCGAACTGAGTCGAAACCGTCCGCAACCAATCTCTACCGAAGATGAAGTCGTAGCCGTCCAGTGTTGCAGAGTCGAAGTCACGCCTAACTGTGATCGGTCCTAGCACTACGCGCAACTTGCGAATGATTGGCCCTATGTTGAGAGGTGTCCCATCCACCATTCGAGCATCCTTGAAGTTGACTGCGGAATCTGCTTCAAGATGGAGACGACTAACTAGCGAAGATGAAACGAACGAGTGGCTAGCTCCGCTATCGACGAGAATCTTAACAGGAACTCCGCGAAGCTTCCCTAGAAGCACGACTGGACGATCAACAGTGTCTACCGAGTTCTCCGTAGATGACTGCTGCAAGGCCGTCTCCTCTACGTTGGTAGACGTGGCGGGTACGGGTGTCAGAACTAGCTGTAGAAAGTAAGAATGAAGAAAGGAGGGTTTGCACTAGCAGCAGTTGGCATACATATAGGAAACCCTAATTGGGTTGTACTCGCTATAGAGTACCCCACTGCAGGCTAGAGCATAATATTCTGACACACCCCCATAGCCAAAGTGGGGTGTAATCAGCAGAGAAAGCAGTACAAGCTCAGGGTGGATCACAATGTCACCACACATTCTGAGCACAAGTTTAAGAAGCAATAGTTTAAAGTGCACAATTATGAGCAAAGCTAGAGGCAGTTACAGAGGGCAAGTGAGGAGGAGGAGGGCTGGCGAGAGGAGAGAAGAGTGGAGGCGACGACTGAAGCTGCAGACACACGGGCAACAGACGGCTCTGGTGCAACTCTAGTGGCTACCGGGAGCAAGGGCCCCGGAATACAGGAGTAACAGGCTCTGCGTCTGATCAGCAGCGACAGGAGCAACGGACCCACGGGCGACAGGTGCAACCGGCTCTCTGAGCTACCGGTGGCTATCAGAACCCCGGAATACAGGCGCTGCAGACGACACGACGGCTGCCTCCACCCAACCTCCTCCAACTGTCCCACACCCCCCAACACACACCCCCTGCTGAAACCCTAGCTCCACTCCCATGGCACCCCCCTTAAACCCTAAACCCTCGGCTCCCACACACCCACCCCCCTGAGCAGCAGCTGCAGCAGTGGGAGACGGAGGAGGAGGAGGAGCAGGGGACGGCTGACAGAGACGGCACCCCCATACGCTCCACCCCCAAACCCTAATTCAGGAGTACGGGCAGCAGCAGGGGTGGGGCGCCGTCAGAAGCGCGAGGGACGGCGTGCAGCTCAGTGGGAGAGGAGACCGGGCGCCCGCGGGCCAGGCGCAGCCCGTACGAACCGCGCGCAGGCGGCCCGAGGCGCGCGCGGGCCAGGCGCAGCCCGTACGGGCCGCGCGCGGGCCTGGCGCAGGCCGTACGGGCCGCGCGCGGGCCTGGCGCAGCCCGTACGAGCAGCGCGCGGGTTGTACGGGCCGCGCGCGGGCCTGGCGCAGCCCGTACGGGCCGCGCGCGTGCAGGACAGGCCGCGCGCGGGCCTGGCGCAGCCTGTACGGGCCGCGCTCGTGCAGTACGGGCCGCGCACGGGCGACGGGGGCGACGCGCGGGTCCCCGGGGGCGCTTCGGCGGGCGACGGGGGGAGAAAACCGCCGCGCGCCTCGGGGCGCACGGCGGGCAGAGAACCGCCGCGCGCCTCGGGGCGCACGGCGGGCAGAAAACCGCCGCACACCTCGGGGCGCACGGCGGGATGAAAAATCCGTCGCACGCCACGAGGCGTGCGACACACAGAGTAGCAGTAGCAGTAGCAGTAGCAGCGGAAGGCTTAGGTGGTGGGCCCACCCACAGGATCGACCCAGGAGGGTCGACCTGCTCTGATAGCATGTCAGAACTAGCTGTAGAAAGTAAGAATGAAGAAAGGAGGGTTTGCACTAGCAGCAGTTGGCATACATATAGGAAACCCTAATTGGGTTGTACTCGCTATAGAGTACCCCACTGCAGGCTAGAGCATAATATTCTGACAACGGGAACCTCCACACCAGCTAGCGACCCGCTATCTACTGGCGGTTTCCGTTTCCCTGCTGCCGCTCCTTGAACTGTGGGCAGTCCCGCTTCATGTGTCCCGGCTTTTTGCAGTAGTGACAGTTCCCCTTAAATCCGCTACGCTGTGAGCCGTCACTGTTAACTGCACCAATCTCCATGGGCGATGGTCCGTCCCTCGATCGAGTGTCGTTGATCGGTCTGCTGTATCCCCTATCGCGATCGTCACGACCCCGTCGGCTTCGTACTGCGTCGACGCGTTCTGCTGCTGCGACTACCGACTCGAAGGTGGACAACCCGTGAATCGCAATAACTTCCGCTATGTCCGGCTTCAACCCCTCGAGGTAGCGATCGCGCATCTCTGCTTCCGTGATGTCGTCTATCTCGTTGCAGATGCTCAAGAACCGTCGTGTGTACTCCTGGACGTTTCCTATCTGTCGGAAATGACGCAAACGCTTCCTAGCAGCTTTGGATGCGTTCACCAAGTCGAATCTACTCTTCAGCGCCGCTTCAAATCCTTCCCATGTGGTCGGAACCGTGGTAACACCTAAAGCCAAACTCCCTAAGCTCGAGATTGCAGCTGCATGCCCCACGCCCTGTTGATGCCCGTCCGTCTGAGCCCTTCTAACAGCAGTCTGCGTAAGTTGGCGCCACCACTCCAAGGCCGGCCCCCTCAACAGCGTCACGGCATACTCGATCCGCTGCTGCGCGTCTGCTTCTTGCACCCCGCTCGCGGCGAAGTAGTTGTTGAGCATGAAGAGCCACGTCCGCACGTTCGCGTCGCGTTGACTTGGGTCGAACGACTCGGGTTTCTGCGGCTTGAGTGCGCTTCGACGTTCCGGCAGCGCTTCCGCGCCAGTCGACGTGGTGGATGCAGGAGTTGGTGCGGAATGGCCATGGGGGTTAGAAGCCAAATTGCGAAGCTGTTGCATTTCGGCTCGTACCTGACGATTTTCCAACGTCAGCTGTTCGAGTTGGCGCATGAGCTCGGCAAGCGTGACGGTGTTGCCCATGTCGTGGGGGAGAGCGTGCATGGTTTCGTCCATGTTTGCTCGACGACTCCAAGTCTGCAAGTCGGCACCGCGGGACGGTCGACGGTCGCTCGTTGGAAGTCGCTCCCCGCGAAGGCTCTTGATACCAAGTGTTAGGCCCGACGGCCTAAGTCCGCTAAAGAATTAGCGGGGTCGACTAAGTCGAGGATAAACGCGGCGGAAGACTTTGGCGAAAGAGAGTGTTGGCGAAATAGGCGAAGAAGTAACTGAGTAATTGAAGAAGAGTTGAATGAGAATTGGTTGATAATGGCAAGTACAAGAGGGGTTTATATAGCATGCAAGAAACAAGGTTGGAAAGTAGATTGTGGGACTAGGAATTGTGAAGGTAGAAAAGTAGAGTGCCACGTGGCACATGGAAATCTAGGAAGATAAGGTTGGATGGGTTGGGAAAAGTACTGTTCGGAATGAACAGTAAAACCCCCTGTAACACTTTTGCACGGAAGAAAGAAACAATATGTCAATACAGTGAACGCCTTTTATTGTGGTCAATACACGTGGAAGCAAAGTGCTATCTAGCGGTAGTGCCTAGGTATCTGCACCATTGATGTCAAGTTCACCACTTGAAAAGAGGCAAATTCTCAGCAAAATGGTGAACACACTAGGTAAAATATCCACGCCCCACCTCTACACTACAATACAACCCAGCAATCATAACTGCACTCACCAAGGAACAACCAAACATCCCAGAAACCTTCCCCTCCCCACCCCATCTACTCACTTCTTTCCTCCAAATGATCCCTTCCCCAGCAGCCTACCATCTACACATCCGCTGTCCAGGTTCGGGATCTTGTAGATAGTCTCGCCTTCCTCATCTTCAAAGCACGGACATGCGGTGATCACAAGAGTCCTGAGGCTGGTGAGGCTGCTCATGGAATCAGGCAAGGATACCATGTTAGCCCAGTTGCTCAAAGTCAGCCGCTGCAGTCTTGAAAGATCCTCAATTTGATACGGAAGCTGATTCAGTTCATGGAAACCAAAAAGGAGGAGGGATGTCAGACTTGAGAGATGGCAAAGGGACAACATGAAGGCATCAGCTTGAGGGACATCAGCTTGCTCCAATGCTGGGCCAGGGATGGAGGGAGATTGTCAACACCATCGCAGTAGGTGAAGGAGAAGTTGCGGAGATTGGACAGCCTGGAAATGGCATCTGGAAGATTGGAAAGTCCTTTGAGCTGGCTCAGCTCGAGATGCTCCAGCGACGACAGGCGATCCACTCCCTGTGGAAGGTCCATCAGCTGTGAGCAATTCTTAAGAATCAGCACGTGGAGGTTAGAAAGGTTGCAGAGGGAATCAGAGATCGTGTGGAAGCACTCGCAGTTTTTAATGGCTAGCGTCTTGAGAGAAACGAGGCCTGATATCCTTGCTGGGAGGGATGCAACGCTGGTACAATACACGACTTCAAGAACTTGCAAAGAACGGAGATCGAAAAAGGAATATGGGAGTTCTGATATGAGATTATTGTGATGAAAGTAAAACTCTCGGAGGTTCTGAAGCTGGCCGACGGTGTCAGGAAGAGCGCTCAAACCGTCCATTTCTCAAATGCTGAGTTTGACCAATGTCTTCAGCTCACCAAGGGAATCGGGTAGACTCTCTAACGGTCCGTCATTTCGGAACAGCTTCAGCTCGGTCAGCCTCGTGATGTGACAGATTGATTCTGGGAATTGGTGAACCCACACGAAGGCGAGTGTCAACTTGGTCAGGGAAGTCAAATCGTCGAATCTATCCGGGTAATTGTCGAAGTTGGCGTTCAGATAGACCTCCGTTAGTGATGAAAGATTGAAAAAGGATTGTGGCATCTCACAAGTGAAATCGGATTGATCTATCATGATGTCAAGGGAGAGGTATTCCAACTCAGTGCATGCTGTGAAGAGGGCATCTGCACCGTCACACGTCAACCCGTTACCACAATCGCTGTTCAGGTCAAGATAAGTTAACCCAGGACAGACAGATTCTAGGTCCTGAAAAAACTCGTCATTAGATGATGGATCTAAAACGCAATTGTTTATCGTGAAAGAAGACAACCTTTTGAACTGGGAAAGAGATGTCCGAAGGTCACCATCAACTGTAAGGCTAGACGATCTGTTGGCGATGGACGTCTGAGCAAGGTAAGCTAGGCGGTTCCAACGTTTGCAGACCAATGCATGATTGAAGTAGCTAGGCGACTGCTTGTTTAGACATCGGAACACATGGCAGATGAGCTTGTCTGGCAGTATGTTAAACGATGCTCGCAACATGACTCTACCACCGATGCAAGACCAGGGCGACTAGATAATTCTACAAACTATGAACTCTATTACGAAACCGAGAAAAGAGGTGAGAAACACACGATTGTTCCGTGTGGATGGCGTTGATATAGAGTATCGACGCGAGTACCTCGAGTCTTGTTTGAGGTCTTCCGCTGCCGTTGTTCTGCTCGCTGCCTTAGTCTGCTTAGGGGATAAGTTTGGCGGGGCGCTTCGACTTGCGAGTTAGGGCGCACACCTCATGCCTGACGGTTGATTTCTCAGCTCACGGTTCGGCTCATGGCGAAAACACTCACAAATTTGTGAGTCGCCGCGTACAACTCGCGACTATCGTGATGTCGTCAATTTCAAGCCCTGGTGATTTCGTGACCTAAATCGAGGTTACCACGTCGTTCTCGTCTTAGTTCCGTTCATCTCCTGCCGTCAGTTAGCAATGGATGGTGGCTAGGATGGAAACGAGTCGTCAATTGTTTGCCGTCTCAGTCCCGTTCATCTCCTGCCGTCGGTTCGTAACGGATAGTGACTAGGATGGAAATGAGTCGTCTATAGTGACTAGGATGGAAATGATCGTCCATTGTTTGCCTGATCGGCATGGCAAAATCCATCCAGTATCGAGGTTGCGAATCGAGGTGCAGAACTGAACTCGGCTCAGAACTGGATGATTCCATTCATCATCGTCGCACAACAGCTCCGCTGCAAATAAAATTCGTTTAGCGCTCGCACGGTCGCGGACGAGTTTACCCGAGCCTATATCTCAATACAGGGTGCAAAGCATACAAGAAATTGAAATCAGCCTTAATATACACAACCAAACAAGATGCTTGGGTCATTTTTTCCAGACTTTCAGATTCATGTTTGGATTCTTAAAGCTGAGCCAAACTGGTTGCTAATTATTCACTACATGCGGCTGCACGGTTGATATGCTACGCCCACTTGCAATCATCCTCTCTGCCCCTCCTACAGTGAGATAATGCATATCACTCCCTCCCACCTCTCTCAACTGCACCCATCCGTTCACTTCACCCCTTCCCATTACACCATTCTGCTGCCTGCCATTTTTTTATAACAGGCCCTCCCCTTACTATTCCGCCCCTTTCATCCTGCCTACCATGCATCTTCACTCATCATTCAAAGCATGACTTATAAAGCCAATTTGACCTCCCAATCCCAGGAGAGATTTGACAACGAATACCAGCTCGAACCAACAGGTGGTGCTGCCACGAGAGCAGCACGGAGGGAGACCATCTCAGCTCATACAAACATGTCAAGATAGGTTGCTAGGGTTTAGTCTTAGGAGCCATGCTAGGAGGTAGAGTGTCGAGGGAGTTGGCAATGAAAGAGGACTTCACTATAGAGTCAAGGGTACAAATATGATAGGAAAGGGGGTAATCCACCAAACAGAATGTGATAACTACACTACTGCTATATCTACATGCAGTTACAGTAATATAACTCTGACATTCCCCCTTAACTGCATGCAGGAATAGCAAAGCATAAATCACAACCTGCAAGTGTACTGAAAGCATTAGCACGCAAGAGCAATGACAACCAGTGCAGCAGTGGCAGAAACAACTGCAGAAACCCCTTAGCCAATACAGAAACGAAAGAAAGGTGCATGTGGCGCAGGTCGCCTGGAGAGCGGCGTGCGGCGGCAACGAGCGGCGGCACAGCAGGCTCAACGGCAGCACCTGCCGCTCAACAGCAGCAAACGAAAGAGACGAATTAAGTGGCAACAGGGGCTGCAGCTGGAGGTGCCACAGTAGCAGGGGGTGGCAGTTGCAAATGCAGGGCTGCTGCTTCTGCCACTCTCTCTCATACCCTCCCTCATCCCCCCTTACCCTCTCTCCCCCCCCCCCCCCCACAGCAACAAGTGCTGCAGGGAGAGAGGAAGAGGGAAGGGAGGGAGGAGCGGCAGGCTCCTCACACCCGCCCCCCCCCCAACCCCCCCCCCCCTCCACGACGGAAGGGAGGGCGGGTGGGAAGGGCGGAATCACCCGCTGCCGGCGCTGGCGTGGGCTGCTGGCGCTGGGAGCCGGCCCCGGCGCTGGCGCTCGTCGCTGGTGCTTGTGCTGGTGCTGGCGCCCGCCGGCGCTGGCGTCCGCGGCGACGAAACGGGGGGCCCCGGCGCGTCGAAACGGGTGGCCGCGGGGCGACGAAACGGGGGGGGCCGCGGGGCGACGAAACGGGGGGCCGCGGGGCGACGAATCGGGGGCCGCGGGGCGACGAAATGGGGGGCCGCGGGGCGACGAATCAGGGGCCGCGGGGCGACGAAATGGGGGGCCGCGGGGCGACGAATCAGACGGGCGCAGGGCGCGACGGGACGAAGAAAATAGCGCATTTCGCGCTGCATTAAGGGCGGGCCCATGTTTCTGAAAAAAAAATGAAGGTTCTAGGAAAGAACCAGCTCTGAAACCATGTCAAGATAGGTTGCTAGGGTTTAGTCTTAGGAGCCATGCTAGGAGGTAGAGTGTCGAGGGAGTTGGCAATGAAAGAGGACTTCACTATAGAGTCAAGGGTACAAATATGATAGGAAAGGGGGTAATCCACCAAACAGAATGTGATAACTACACTACTGCTATATCTACATGCAGTTACAGTAATATAACTCTGACAAAACAGGTGGTGCTGCCACGAGGGCAGCACAGACGGAGACCCGTACCACGGCCGGGCCTCACTGGCCCCCACAGGCGAGTGATACACGCCGTCCAGGATCAGATTCTCCGCCCCTTCCAGCACGGCAGCATCTTCCGGCACGACTCCGTCCCCCCACACGTCCGCCCGCCCACACACCTGCTTGTACCCCTGCCCCACCATGCGCGCCTGCAACACACCTCCCCCAGATGCCACCTGCACCTGCCTCCCAGCAACAGCCTCGTCTTCTTCTGAAGCCCCACTGCTGCCCTCCTCTATCTCCCTCACACTCTCGCTCTGGAGTTCTGAATCTGACCCACCGGCTGCTTGTGTTGCTGCGGCCCCCACCCCTATTGGTTTCACATCCAGGGCAAACACGCGCGCCTCTCCTCCTGCTGCTGCTGCCACGGCCGCCACAGCGGCTGGTGCTGAGGCTGGTGCGGCTGATTCAGGGGTGGCAGTGGTGGCGCTGCCGAAGAGGGGCAAGCCCTTGATGTACCTGCATGGGTGGGTGGGTGGGTGGGTGGGTGGGTGGAGATGTGATGAGGTGATGATCAAAGCATTCAAGCTCTAGGCGCTACCGAACAGGGGCAAGCCCTTGATGTACCTGCATGGGTGGGTGGGTGGGGTTATGGGGAGGAGGTGATGGGGAAAGGAAAGGCTGGCTGTGAGACTGGCACAGATGATTCAGATTCCAAAGCCAGAAAACAAAAACCGGTCCAAGCGAAATAAGAGGTTTCCAGCCGGAATAGAACACGCACCACAAGGGGATGTGGAGTGGAGGCAAGAGAGTTTCACCTGCCTGGCGGAAAAGGCTTCACCTGCCTGGGACACGGGCATATGGACATAGGCAACAGTATCACACCTGGCTAGCTGAGGTGATCACCTGCATCGAGACGCATAGAGAGAAGAGCACCTCCCCTCCCCCAGAGATTAAACCTCCCCTCCTCCAAAGAATGAACCTCCCCTCTCCAAACGAATGAGCCTCACCTGCCCGAGACGCAGACGTATTTGACGTGGGGAGCATGGAAGGCGCCTGGAGAGACGGCCTGCATGTGCGTCAGCAGGCCCCTGGTCTGATCCACCACCCCTTGTAGCCCTGCGGGTGGTGGGCTGGTGGGAGGTGATTCCGGGAGGGGGAGAAGAAATGGAAAAAACGAAGAAGGCAGCAAAACGGGTGAGGAGAGCTCGCAGAAAGATTCGGAGGGGTAGAGGCGAGGCGAGACGAGGGTGCAATGCTGCAGACATGCGAAGGGAGGCAGCGAAGAATAAGAATCAGCAATGACATGCTGCTGCATGATTGTTTTGAGTTGACTCAAACACGACTCGATGCAAAGGGAGGTAGCGAAGGATAAGAATTAGCAATGACATGCTACTACATGCTTGCATGGTTCTCTTGTCCAATGCACCATCCATCGACCCCCATGCTGCAATTCGTCCCCACGTGCGGCACACATTCTCGCCCCCCTCACAACCACATGTCATGCCATGCCATGGCACGCTGCACTGCCCCACACACACACTCACAGGTGCGGCGAGCCCAGGGAGAGCAGCAGCGCCACGTCAGCATGACCGTACTCCGCGAGGTAGAGGCGTGCCAGCCAACCGCCTGCTGAATGCGCCACCAGCGACACCTGGGAGGCGCCTGATGGGCAGTGCAGGGGGGGGAAGGGGGAAGGGGGAGGGGTGTCGAGAGAAGGGGGTCGCGGGTTGACATTCAGGTAGAGACGTGCCAGCCCCCCGCCCGCTGAGTGCGCCACCAGCGACACCTGCGAGGCGCCTGGGGGGGGGCGGGTGCGTAGGGGAGAGACGCGGTAGGGTGCACGGGGAAGTGCAGGGGGAGAGGGGAAATAGAGGAAGACAGTCAGGTAGAGGCGCGCCAGCCACCCGCCCGCTGAGTGCGCCACCAGCGACACCTGCGAGGCGCCTGAAAGACAGTGCAGGGGGGGAAGGGGGAAGGGGGATTGACATTCAGGTAGAGGCGCGCCAGCCCCCCGCCCGCTGAGTGCGCCACCAGTGACACCTGGGAGGCACCTGACGGGGGCGGGTGCCGGGGGAGAGAGAGAGTAGGGGGCACGAGGAGGGGGAGTAGCGGCAGGCACTTAGTCAGGAAGAGGTGTGCCAGCCCCCCGCCTGCTGAGTGAGCCACCAGTGACACCTGGGAGGCGCCTGACAGGGGAGGGTGCCGGGGGGTGGGGGGGGGGGAGTGGGGAAGGAAAGACATCTCTTTGAGAGAGCTCCCTTTTAAAAAAAGCCAACAGCAGCGTGAGATATGATGACAGGGGGGCACTGTGGGATGGAGTGCAGAATGAACGTGGGGAATGGATGTGCTTGAAAAGGGGCTTATTGGCATGCAGTGCTTCTGAGGGAAGGTTGTATTAGAGTGCCTTGCGTGGAAGCTTGCTTTTGAGTCGGCTCAGAAGCAGAATGGATGTGCTTGGGAAGGGGCTCATCGGCACACAAGAAATCTTCTCAGGGCGTGGTTGTATTAGAGTGCCTTGCGTGGAAGTTCTTGTGAATGAGTGACTGTAGAGGGATGCGTACAGGTGCTTGCAAGTGAGTGCGTGCATTACAAGCATTACCCGGTAACGTGGGCATACCTGGGACTCTCTTCTTGGCTGCCTCCACCGCTGCTGCCACCCGCTCCAAGTACCTGCCAGGCAGGCAGTCAGGCAGGCAGTCACGCGTACAGGCACGGCAACACACACACACAGGCAAGGAGAGACAGAGATACGGGGTGAAGGATTTTTGAGACGACTCAAAACACAGGCATGGAGAGACGGAGATACAGGGTCATAAATGAAGGGACGAGAGGACGCAGAGGCACAGACACCGAGAATCCTCATAGGCACTTCTAAATCATACCCCACCCGTGCTTCTCATCTTCCCTGCATAGGCACTTCCGACTCATACCCCACCCACCCACCCACCCACCCACCCATACAAGTGCTTCTCATCCTCTATGCCAACTCGAAAGGGCGACTTGGGGCACTAGTAACCTCCACACCCACCCTCTATACACCACCACCACCCACCACCCACCACCCACCACCCACCACCCACCACCCACCACCCACCACCACCACCACTGCAGACCCACCGACCCACCAGTCGAGGATCGGGCGAGGCTTGAGCGTTCCCTTCCAGTAGTCTGCTTGCAGCAGCCCCGCGGCGTTCCGCAGCCAATCAGGTCGCGCCACGCGTGCCACCTCCGCCGCCACGCCCTGCGCCTCCAGCAGCGCGACGAGCTCCGCGTAATCCGCCGAGTTGTTGCCCAATCCCTGCTCGCCACGTGGCACGCACGCAGATGTCGAATGGACGGGAAGGGAAGCAGCTTAATATGGAGAAAACTCGGACTAGCGGACAGGCGCGAGGAAGCGAAATGCGTGTCGGCAAAGGCGTGTTGCCATAGAAGAGGAGATGTGGCGAGAACACATGGCGGAGAGGTCACGAGATCCGCGCGCAGGTGGATGCGCACTGCGAGATGCATCCGATACGAGGAGAAGTCCTCGCATGTTCCTCGCATGCCATGCGAGCAAGGAGCATACCGGGAGAATGACCACGGGACGAATCGCTGCTGTCGCCTCGCTGCTTTTTCCTTCCGGGACCACGCTTGACCCCGTTGCGCCTCCTGCCGCCGCTGCTCGTGCTCTGACAGCTTTCCCTCTCTCGACAGCAGCGACTTTTAGGGATGAGGATTTGCCGTCCAGCGAGCATCTCAGGCCGTCACACATGAAGAGGTTTGAGACCGGCCGTGCTGTGACAGAATCCGTGATCGGAACGGAATCAGTCCGTCGTGCGGTCCCGGGAAATAAACTGAGGCTGACGCTTCGGCTGCAGAGGCTGGTCGAAGAAGCCATCGGGCGAAACTGGAATTTGACCAACGATGCCCTTGAATCACTCCGGCCACCTTCCTACGAATTTTTGTTCCTTTTGAGAATTCTTAAAAGCGCAACGGGGAGGCTAGCGGCGGAGTTGCTACGGCGAGGCGGGAATCGGTAGTAGAAGCGACGCTAACCAGGTTACAGAAAACGGAAAGGCGCCACTTGACTGGCAATCCCACACTGAGCATATAGTCAACAAGTTTCTCAGGGCAAACCGAACCATAAACAAACGAGCTGAACCACAAAAGCGTCCGACAGAAACATGAATGGGAAGGACAAGCGAGCCGCGCATTTATGTGAAAGTTGACGAGGCGACGACTGGCCCTCGTTTCCGCTGCATCCCAACAAATGGGAGGTCGACACGCTGACAGGATGCCGTTTAGTGTGCTGTATTCAGTAATGCTACACCACGAACCAGAGTTTTACAAAACATGGCCGCAATTTCAACCTTGAACTAGCAAGCATTATCTTAACAATGAATTCCCCAGTGATTGCCTTTCCAAATGCGGAACAAAGAATTTTTACAATTTGCAAAGCATACTAAGCTACACCATCTTGTTATCACTATTAACATCAAATTAGGCTTCAAATGCTACACACGGTGGGCACAGCCCAGCCCAGCCCAGCCAACCGCAATCCCCCAGCCCTCAATTTCCCACTTCATCGGGTGCTGCGTGGCAGATGGCACATGGCGCACGCCCGGCCGGGCAACGGGTTTGCATACGTGCAGTGCTCGCACGACCAATACGCCGTCTCCTCCCGCTCCCGACCCCCCGTATTCCCCACCGTCACCGCCGCAGCCGCCGCAGCAGCAGCCGCTTGAGACGACGACGACCGGAAAATGCTCCCACGGCTCGACCCCGCACCACCACTACCACCCGCCGCTGCTGCTGCTGCAGATGAACTGCTCGGCCCAGCAGCAGACGAACCAGCAGCGGAGGTAGAAGCGGCGGCAGCGGCGGTGGTGCGGGAGCGGGTGCGGGCACCGAAGCGGGACTGGGAGATGCGCGAGGTGCTGGCGATGGCTCGGCGCTGCTGCTGCTGCTGCTGCTGCGGCGGCGGCAGCGGCGCGTGTGGAGTTGCCGGCTGCAGAGGCGTTCTCAACGTCTGCCAGGCCGTTCTCGAGCGCCCTCACTAGATTCTCAAAGTACGTGTGCGTCACACTGGTTTGGAGAAAAAGAAGGGAAGTTGCAGGGGGTAGGGAGAGCGATTTGAGGGAGGGAGAGAATGCCAATCCTCACTAGATTCTTCAGAGAGTGAGCGTCACACTGCAGGGGGGAAAGGATAGGGGGTAAGGGATGGGGAGGGGAAGAATGTGGGAGGTAGAGGGCGGCAGCAGCGGCTCGTGCGGAAGAAGCGGCAGCAGAGGCGCTCTCGACGCCTGCCAGGCTGTAGTTGAGCGCCGTCACTAGACTCTCAACGTACGAGCGCGCCCCACTGCAGAGAGAGGGGGCAGAGAACATGGAAGGTGGACGGGACGGAGGGAGGGAGGGAGGGAGGGAGGGAGGGAGGGAGGGAGGGAGGGAGGGAGGGAGGGAGGGAGGGAGGGAGGGAGGGAGGGAGGGAGGGAGGGAGGGAGGGAGGGAGGGAGGGAGGGAGGGAGGGAGGGAGGGAGGGAGGGAGGGAGGGAGGGAGGGAGGGAGGGAGGGAGGGAGGGAGGGAGGGAGGGAGGGAGTCAGTGCTGGGCTGGTGAGTGCGATGGTCGCACAACCTTCCTTCTCCCCTTGTCACTCTCCCTTCTTACCCAGACATTAATCGACGCCATTTTCTTTTGTGCCTTACAAACTGTCTCAGCTAAACAGGCACCCACCCTTAGAATGAATTTAAAAGGCCATCTACCACATCGTACCACAGCTTTCTGACCTCACCAGCTTCACCAAACCAATTCCCACCCATCCACAATGCATACCTCCCCCTCTCACTAACCTCGTCAATCCCGCCAGCCGCGAGCCGAAGTCATTGAACGAAGTAGGGAGCGGGTTCTCATCACAGATGTAGAGCTCGAGCTGCTTCTCCGCCATCTTGTGCAAATCCCCCCACTCACAACCACTACCCTCTGCTTACTCCCCCCCTCTAATCACCTGGTGAGCCCCGCCAGTCGAGATCTGAAGTCATTAAAGGAAGTCGGAGGCGGGTCCCCATCGTCACAGATGTAGAGCCCAAGTTCCTTCTCGGCCATCTTGTGCAGATTCTCCAACGCCGCGTCCGCTGTTTACTGCACTCTTCACGAGTCTTAACCATCTCCACCACTGCATACCACACCATTCTCACCTAGTGAGCCCCGCCAGTCGTGACCGGAAGTCATTGAAAGACGTAGGGGGTGGGTCCCCGTCGTCGCAGATGTAGAGCTCAAGCTCCTTCTCCGCCATCTTGTGCAGATTCTCCAGTGCCGCGTCCGCCTCGCCCTGCAGGTACTCGAAGAACTGTCGTCGCGCCACCTCTGCTTCCGGCAGGTAGTAGCCATACGCGTACGTCCACTTGAGCACCCTGCGACACTCCACCACCTGGCGATGAGAGGAAAGCAGGAGAGTGCAGAGGGTTGACATGGTCACCTCCGCCTCTGGCAGGTAGTAGCCGTACGCGTATGTCCACTTGAGGACTCGCCTGCACTCCACCACCTGATAAGGAGGGGGAGAAGTGGAGAGGGAAGCAAGGGAATGATTCTCCAGTGCTGCGTCCGCTTCGCCCTGCAGGTACTCAAAGAAGTGCCGCCGCCGCGCCACCTCTGCCTCCGGCAGGTAGTAGCCATACGCGTACGTCCACTTGAGCACCCTGCGACACTCCACCACCTGGCGAGGCGGGGAGAGGGTGAGAGGGAGCAAAGGAGTGCAGAGGGTTTAGGTTGTGCAGATTCTGCAACGCCACGTCCGCTTCGCCCTGCAGGTACTCAAAGAACTGCCTCCTCCTCGCCACCTCGGCTTCTGGCAGGTAGTAGCCGTACGCGTACGTCCACTTGAGGACCCTGCGACACTCCACCACCTGGAGAGGCGGGGAGAGAGGGAAGGGCAGCAAGGGGGCAGAGTGTTTGAGTGATCACCTCTGCCTCGGGCAGGTAGTAACCACACGTGTATGTCCACTAGAGCAAGGGCAGTGCCAGACGGAAACAACGGTTGTGAGGAAGGGAGCATTCTATTCGTGCATCCTCACCTGCAACCATGCATCGATGTCTCACCTGCAACCATGCATCGATGTCTCACCTGCAACCATGCATCGATGACTCACCTGCAACCATGCATCGATGACTCACCTGCAGCTATACATCGATGTCTCACCTGCAACCATGCATCGATGACTCACCTGCAGCCATGCATCGATGACTCACCTGCAGCCATGCATCGATGACTCACCTGCAGCCATGCATCGATGACTCACATGCAGCCATGTATCGATGACTCACCTGCAGCCATGCGTCGATGACGAACTTGAGTTGTGAGACGGGCTGGCTGTGGCGCTCACTCAGTTGCTCTATCTGCCATGCCAATGCACCCCCCCATGCACATTCCACCACAAACCCCCACGGTACACCCCACAGCATGACAGGCACAGGCACATGCAGAGATGGAAGGTTCATTCACAAGATAATCACGGCACATGCCACGGTACAACCCACAGCACGAGGCACAGGCACAGGCACAGGCACAGGCACAGGCACAGGCCCAGGCACACCCCAGCAGTGCAGAGATGGAAGGTTCCATCACAAGATAGTCACAGCAGGTGCGAGCTTTGAGGCAATCGGCCGTTGAGATCTGCACTGCAGGCAGGCAGCATGCCACAATGTTTCGAGATGTGTGAAAACGTTTTACTCCGCCTGCCCCATGCCATCAGCCCGCCCCATGGCATACCTTGACTGTTTGCATCTCTCGCAACGACTCAAGCGCCTTTACTCTCGACTGGAGGGGCAGCACACAGGGCAGGGGAAGGGGGAAGAGTGGGAGGGGGAAATGTGGGGAAAGGGAGAGAGGGAGTAAGCGTGAATATGCATTATGCGACTAAACTTGCAACGGAGGGCTGACACAAGCCGAGAAGAACCTGGATGATGTGCATTGTTCTTGGTCCGCATACACCGAACCTCAATCTGGCTAGAGTCGTGCCTATTCTCCACACGAGTGACTGCTGTCCAGACCGCAGCATTGCATTGCAAGTTCCCACGACCTTACTTGCCCCACCTGCCCTTTTGCAGCCCAGCGTTCATGTTAGAGGGTTTACTTTCTCTCCTACTCCTTACCACCATTAAATTCTCGTACCTGCTTGTTCGTCCCCCCCACTCCCCCACTCCTCTCATACCCTCCACTCCCCCACTCCTCTCATACCCCCCACTCCCCGATTCCTCCACTCCTCTCATAACCCCACTCCCCCACTCCTCTCATATCCCCCACTCCCCCACTCCCCCACTCCTCTCATACCCCCCACTCCCCCACTCCTCTCATACCCCCCACTCCCCCACTCGTTAAAAAGGTAAGCACCCCACCTGTTCGTTGGCAGCCCAGCGCTCGTAGTAGTGCGTGTACTTCTCCTCACCTACTTGTACCCTTCCTCCGTACAGCCCATCCCTACGCCCTCTCTTGCCCCACCTGCTCCTAAGCATCCCACCTGTTCGTTGGCAGCCCAGCGCTCGTAGTAGTGCGTGTACTTCTCCAGTGAATTCTTTGCCATCTCCCTCCGCCTCTCCGTCTCATCGTACTGCCAGCGGCACAGGCAGGGGAGCCATACGGGCAGAAGAGAGAGTGCAATCAGGTGGGTGCTGATGAAAGTGCACACAGGGAGTGATGAGTGAGAACAGGGAAGGGAACTCGTGGTGGAGTGGAGGTACGCACAAGAACATAGACACAGGAGGTGTGGAAGGACCATCAGATGAGAGCACATCACGGACAAGCGGAGTGAGGAGGAGGAAGGCGAGAAATGGTGTGTTGTGGCGGGATGGGGTGGGGTGGGAGGGGAAGCGTGGCTGTGCGAGCAGGGGCAGTGAGCTCACCACAACCTCGTGCTTGGCGGACTTGTATCGATTGCACACGTGTGTCGTGGTGGTGGTGGTGGTGGTGGTGGTGGTGGTGGTGGTGGTGGTGGTGGTGGTGGTGGTGGTGGTGGTGGTGGTGGTGGTGGTGGTGGTGGTGGTGGTGGTGGTGGTGGTGGTGGTGGTGGTGGTGGTGGTGGTGGTGGTGGTGGTGGTGGTGGTGGTGTTGGTTTTGGTGGTGGTGGTGGTGGTGGTGGTGGTGTTGGTTTTGGTGGTGGTGGTGGTGGTGGTGGTGGTGGTGGTGGTGGTGGTGGTGTTGGTTTTGGTGGTGGTGGAGGGGTGGGTGGGGGGTGAAGGTTGGTTGTGCGAGCAGGGGCAGTGAGGTCACCCCGCCCTCGTGCTTGGCGGACTCGTAACGGTCACACGAGTGTAGTGGTGGTGGTGGTGGTGGTGGGTTGGGGGGAAAATGACGGTTAGTTGTGTCAGTAGGGGCAGTGAGCTCACCACGCCCTCGTGCTTGGCGGACTCATATCGGTTGCATGCATAGAAGCCACCCGTCTTCTCCCCGTGCTCTGACCACGCCCCTAGACACAGCCTGGACAGATGGCAGGGCACAGGGGAGGGTGAGAAGGAGGGTGAGCGTAGTGATACGCACATGCGGAGCGTTGCAGGATTTAGAAACAACAGAGAGAAGAAGCTCAGCAGAAGAGCGAAAGAAACGCGGCATCAAGACACAGGAGCATCAAGAGCGACAGAGAAGGACCGTTTGAAGGCAAAGGCAGCAAAATCCTCGAATCCAGCAAAAGCCCTTCAAACGGCACTTCCAGCATGCCCCTCTGCCCCCCTCACTCACTCCAATCCAATCCAACCAGCAACAAATGAACAAAGCGACTGAGCAGCAAATGCCTTCGAGACATGCAAGCCAGCCAGCAACAATAGGCAAGTCGGTGCAATGACATGCGAGGAGAGCAGAGCAGAATGTGTGAGGTGCGAGGAGAGCAGGGCAGGGGGCACACCAGCAGAACTCGTATTTGCAGGGTGGCGTGCAGGTCATGTGCATGCACCCTGGTTCTTCTCTATGGGCCTTCAGCATTGCAAGAGAAATCATTATGCAATGCAAGGCTGTGCCACAAGGTGCGAGGAGAGCATTGCTTGCGGGCAACATACCAGCAGAACTCGTATTTGCAGGGGGGCGTGCAGGTCATGTGCATGCACCCCTGGTTCTTCTCTATGGGCCGCTTGCACTTGGGACACGACTTGGAATTCGCCAGGATCCTGCCAGGGGCGGATTGAGGAGGATTGGAGGGCAGGTGTGGTGGGGGTTGAGAGGGCAGCAAGACAGCACAGGAGCTTCACAACCAGTAGAAACCATGGAAAAAAAAAAATGAAAAAAGAATGAAAAAAAAAAAAAAAACCCGAACAAACAAAAAAATATACTTTTGAAGGAGAAAGCAAGCGAGAACGATACTTTTGAATGCCTCATTCATACCAGTTCATGTTCTCTGACTCGGCGCTGTTCTTGAGAATCCACTTGCCCACCGTCTCACAGTCCACTGGCCGATGCGCCTCCTCCAAACACTGCCGAAGGGGGTTGGGAAGAAGGCAGGAAATGCAGCGAGTGACAGAGAGATGTGGGAGAGTGAGAGGGAGGACATGAGGACTGCACCCCCACAACAAGCACAGTATCTCACAGTCAAACTGACCAGGGCAAAGCGTTTTGTCAAAACACAGCCAACAATTTTGAACATTCTCAGAAGTGACTCCCAAACTTTGAGAAATCTTAGAAGTGACTTCCAAAAGCGTTTCGTCAAAACGCGGCCAGCAGCAGCATGGCACGGCGCAGGAAGAAGGAGGAAGCACAAGCGTGCAAGGACTGGATGAGAAACATCGGGGAGCGCATGGGAACGCTGAGAGGCACGCGGCGAGGGGAAGGAGGGAGGGAATTGCGGATGGAACGACCAAGGGCGGATGGAACGACCAAGGGCGGATGGAACGACCAAGGGCGGAAATGTTGGGAGGAATGGGGGAAGGAATATTAGGAGAGGGGAGGTGGGGCGAGAGGTGTGTGAGGTGGTGCAAACGAGAATTGCGAGGAGCCCAGCCCACGGCAGGGCAGGGCATGGCGGGGCAAAGAAGCGCAGGGCAGGGCAGGGCATGGCGGGGCACGGTAGGGTGCGTGCGACTGACATTCCAGCAGAAGGCGAAGCTGCACTTGCAGATGACATCGTAGTGCGTTGAGTCCGGTAGATACTCCACTGCGTACTCACAGCCTGGTGCGGGGCACCACTTGGCCTGTTGGTGGACAAGGGGGGAGGGAGGGGGGGAAAGGGAAGGAAAGCCACACTGGCAGATGACGTCATAGTGTGTGGAGTCCAGTAGATACTCCACTGCGTACTCACAGCCTGGTGCAGGGCACCGGCCTGCATGTCGTACAGAAGGAGGGGGAAACGGGAGTGCGGAAGGGAGGAAGCGGAGGGGACGGATGGAGTCCGGTAGATACTTCACCGCGTACTCACAGCCTGGCGCCGAGCACCACTTGGCCTGTGCGAGGACAGGGAGGAGAGGGGAGGAAAGGGAAAGTGAAAAGGCATGCTGACAACCCTGAGGTTTTACTTGGCCAGAGAAAGGCAGGCGTATGGGAAGAGAAAAGGGACAGAAAGAGGGGAGGCATCGGGCACAGCAAGTACTTGAGCGCATTGATGCGCCTCTGCGAACTAAGCTTGTGCTACACTTTCAGCCACATATGAGCGTAGAAGGCACTTGAGGCACTCGGCGTGCAGGGTCGCCTCTGTCTCTAGTGCTCTTTCACACTTGAAAATCTATACACCACAATCAACCAGCACACTCACGTTGCGGTTGTCATCTTAGGAGCAAAGCAGGTACTTGAGACGCAGGACACGGCATCCGGCAGCGCAGCGCAGCCCTTTCAGCCTCACAAAAGAGCCTGGCGAAGCCCGCCAACCCCACGTTATTTACAGCAATCAGCCATCCCCCACCCACATTGCGGTTGTCATCCACATAGGAGCAAAGCCGGTACTTGGCGCACAGCGTGTCAGGCAGCCCTTTCAGCTCCCTACCACCAGGCGCGTGAAAGCCGTTCAACTCAACTCCACATGACATCGATCAACCAACATACTCACATTGCGGTTATCATCCACATGCGCAGCAGGTACTTGAGGTACTTGGCGCGCAGAGCAGGGCGTCAGGCACGGCCCCTTTCAGCCTCACAACCCATCCCACATTGCAGCTATCAGCCGTCCCCCACTCACGTTGCGGTTATCATCCACATAGGAGCGCAGCAGGTACTTGAGGTACTTGGCGCGAAGGACATGTGGCAGCCCTGGCAGTCACAACAGGGCCACTAAAACCACACATAACAACCAGTCAAGGCCTCACATTGCGGTTGTCATCCACATAGGATCGCAGCAGGTACTTGAGGTACTTGGCGCGCAGGGCGTCCGGCAGCGAGGCGAGCACGAGCTTCTCCCCCACCGCTGCTCCACACGAGGGGTCCGGGCAGCGCAGGCTCAAACACCCCGGCCCGTCCGCCACCGCTGCCTTGGCGTAGCCTGTAGGAAGTGGGGGGGTGGGGGGGGTGGGGGGGGTGAGGGGTGTAGCAGAGGACAGGTGGGGTAGGAGGACAGGTAGCAGAGGACAGGTAGCAGAGGACAGGTAGCAGAGGACAGGTAGCAGAGGACAGGTAGCAGAGGACAGGTAGCAGAGGACAGGTAGCAGAGGACAGGTAGCAGAGGACAGGTAGCAGAGGACAGGTAGCAGAGGACAGGTAGCAGAGGACAGGTAGCAGAGGACAGGTAGCAGAGGACAGGTAGCAGAGGACAGGTAGCAGAGGACAGGTAGCAGAGGACAGGTAGCAGAGGACAGGTAGCAGAGGACAGGTAGCAGAGGACAGGTAGCAGAGGACAGGTAGCAGAGGACAGGTAGCAGAGGACAGGTAGCAGAGGACAGGTAGCAGAGGACAGGTAGCAGAGGACAGGTAGCAGAGGACAGGTAGCAGAGGACAGGTAGCAGAGGACAGGTAGCAGAGGACAGGTAGCAGAGGACAGGTAGCAGAGGACAGGTAGCAGAGGACAGGTAGCAGAGGACAGGTAGCAGAGGACAGGTAGCAGAGGACAGGTAGCAGAGGACAGGTAGCAGAGGACAGGTAGCAGAGGACAGGTAGCAGAGGACAGGTAGCAGAGGACAGGTAGCAGAGGACAGGTAGCAGAGGACAGGTAGCAGAGGACAGGTAGCAGAGGACAGGTAGCAGAGGACAGGTAGCAGAGGACAGGTAGCAGAGGACAGGTAGCAGAGGACAGGTAGCAGAGGACAGGTAGCAGAGGACAGGTAGCAGAGGACAGGTAGCAGAGGACAGGTAGCAGAGGACAGGTAGCAGAGGACAGGTAGCAGAGGACAGGTAGCAGAGGACAGGTAGCAGAGGACAGGTAGCAGAGGACAGGTAGCAGAGGACAGGTAGCAGAGGACAGGTAGCAGAGGACAGGTAGCAGAGGACAGGTAGCAGAGGACAGGTAGCAGAGGACAGGTAGCAGAGGACAGGTAGCAGAGGACAGGTAGCAGAGGACAGGTAGCAGAGGACAGGTAGCAGAGGACAGGTAGCAGAGGACAGGTAGCAGAGGACAGGTAGCAGAGGACAGGTAGCAGAGGACAGGTAGCAGAGGACAGGTAGCAGAGGACAGGTAGCAGAGGACAGGTAGCAGAGGACAGGTAGCAGAGGACAGGTAGCAGAGGACAGGTAGCAGAGGACAGGTAGCAGAGGACAGGTAGCAGAGGACAGGTAGCAGAGGACAGGTAGCAGAGGACAGGTAGCAGAGGACAGGTAGCAGAGGACAGGTAGCAGAGGACAGGTAGCAGAGGACAGGTAGCAGAGGACAGGTAGCAGAGGACAGGTAGCAGAGGACAGGTAGCAGAGGACAGGTAGCAGAGGACAGGTAGCAGAGGACAGGTAGCAGAGGACAGGTAGCAGAGGACAGGTAGCAGAGGACAGGTAGCAGAGGACAGGTAGCAGAGGACAGGTAGCAGAGGACAGGTAGCAGAGGACAGGTAGCAGAGGACAGGTAGCAGAGGACAGGTAGCAGAGGACAGGTAGCAGAGGACAGGTAGCAGAGGACAGGTAGCAGAGGACAGGTAGCAGAGGACAGGTAGCAGAGGACAGGTAGCAGAGGACAGGTAGCAGAGGACAGGTAGCAGAGGACAGGTAGCAGAGGACAGGTAGCAGAGGACAGGTAGCAGAGGACAGGTAGCAGAGGACAGGTAGCAGAGGACAGGTAGCAGAGGACAGGTAGCAGAGGACAGGTAGCAGAGGACAGGTAGCAGAGGACAGGTAGCAGAGGACAGGTAGCAGAGGACAGGTAGCAGAGGACAGGTAGCAGAGGACAGGTAGCAGAGGACAGGTAGCAGAGGACAGGTAGCAGAGGACAGGTAGCAGAGGACAGGTAGCAGAGGACAGGTAGCAGAGGACAGGTAGCAGAGGACAGGTAGCAGAGGACAGGTAGCAGAGGACAGGTAGCAGAGGACAGGTAGCAGAGGACAGGTAGCAGAGGACAGGTAGCAGAGGACAGGTAGCAGAGGACAGGTAGCAGAGGACAGGTAGCAGAGGACAGGTAGCAGAGGACAGGTAGCAGAGGACAGGTAGCAGAGGACAGGTAGCAGAGGACAGGTAGCAGAGGACAGGTAGCAGAGGACAGGTAGCAGAGGACAGGTAGCAGAGGACAGGTAGCAGAGGACAGGTAGCAGAGGACAGGTAGCAGAGGACAGGTAGCAGAGGACAGGTAGCAGAGGACAGGTAGCAGAGGACAGGTAGCAGAGGACAGGTAGCAGAGGACAGGTAGCAGAGGACAGGTAGCAGAGGACAGGTAGCAGAGGACAGGTAGCAGAGGACAGGTAGCAGAGGACAGGTAGCAGAGGACAGGTAGCAGAGGACAGGTAGCAGAGGACAGGTAGCAGAGGACAGGTAGCAGAGGACAGGTAGCAGAGGACAGGTAGCAGAGGACAGGTAGCAGAGGACAGGTAGCAGAGGACAGGTAGCAGAGGACAGGTAGCAGAGGACAGGTAGCAGAGGACAGGTAGCAGAGGACAGGTAGCAGAGGACAGGTAGCAGAGGACAGGTAGCAGAGGACAGGTAGCAGAGGACAGGTAGCAGAGGACAGGTAGCAGAGGACAGGTAGCAGAGGACAGGTAGCAGAGGACAGGTAGCAGAGGACAGGTAGCAGAGGACAGGTAGCAGAGGACAGGTAGCAGAGGACAGGTAGCAGAGGACAGGTAGCAGAGGACAGGTAGCAGAGGACAGGTAGCAGAGGACAGGTAGCAGAGGACAGGTAGCAGAGGACAGGTAGCAGAGGACAGGTAGCAGAGGACAGGTAGCAGAGGACAGGTAGCAGAGGACAGGTAGCAGAGGACAGGTAGCAGAGGACAGGTAGCAGAGGACAGGTAGCAGAGGACAGGTAGCAGAGGACAGGTAGCAGAGGACAGGTAGCAGAGGACAGGTAGCAGAGGACAGGTAGCAGAGGACAGGTAGCAGAGGACAGGTAGCAGAGGACAGGTAGCAGAGGACAGGTAGCAGAGGACAGGTAGCAGAGGACAGGTAGCAGAGGACAGGTAGCAGAGGACAGGTAGCAGAGGACAGGTAGCAGAGGACAGGTAGCAGAGGACAGGTAGCAGAGGACAGGTAGCAGAGGACAGGTAGCAGAGGACAGGTAGCAGAGGACAGGTAGCAGAGGACAGGTAGCAGAGGACAGGTAGCAGAGGACAGGTAGCAGAGGACAGGTAGCAGAGGACAGGTAGCAGAGGACAGGTAGCAGAGGACAGGTAGCAGAGGACAGGTAGCAGAGGACAGGTAGCAGAGGACAGGTAGCAGAGGACAGGTAGCAGAGGACAGGTAGCAGAGGACAGGTAGCAGAGGACAGGTAGCAGAGGACAGGTAGCAGAGGACAGGTAGCAGAGGACAGGTAGCAGAGGACAGGTAGCAGAGGACAGGTAGCAGAGGACAGGTAGCAGAGGACAGGTAGCAGAGGACAGGTAGCAGAGGACAGGTAGCAGAGGACAGGTAGCAGAGGACAGGTAGCAGAGGACAGGTAGCAGAGGACAGGTAGCAGAGGACAGGTAGCAGAGGACAGGTAGCAGAGGACAGGTAGCAGAGGACAGGTAGCAGAGGACAGGTAGCAGAGGACAGGTAGCAGAGGACAGGTAGCAGAGGACAGGTAGCAGAGGACAGGTAGCAGAGGACAGGTAGCAGAGGACAGGTAGCAGAGGACAGGTAGCAGAGGACAGGTAGCAGAGGACAGGTAGCAGAGGACAGGTAGCAGAGGACAGGTAGCAGAGGACAGGTAGCAGAGGACAGGTAGCAGAGGACAGGTAGCAGAGGACAGGTAGCAGAGGACAGGTAGCAGAGGACAGGTAGCAGAGGACAGGTAGCAGAGGACAGGTAGCAGAGGACAGGTAGCAGAGGACAGGTAGCAGAGGACAGGTAGCAGAGGACAGGTAGCAGAGGACAGGTAGCAGAGGACAGGTAGCAGAGGACAGGTAGCAGAGGACAGGTAGCAGAGGACAGGTAGCAGAGGACAGGTAGCAGAGGACAGGTAGCAGAGGACAGGTAGCAGAGGACAGGTAGCAGAGGACAGGTAGCAGAGGACAGGTAGCAGAGGACAGGTAGCAGAGGACAGGTAGCAGAGGACAGGTAGCAGAGGACAGGTAGCAGAGGACAGGTAGCAGAGGACAGGTAGCAGAGGACAGGTAGCAGAGGACAGGTAGCAGAGGACAGGTAGCAGAGGACAGGTAGCAGAGGACAGGTAGCAGAGGACAGGTAGCAGAGGACAGGTAGCAGAGGACAGGTAGCAGAGGACAGGTAGCAGAGGACAGGTAGCAGAGGACAGGTAGCAGAGGACAGGTAGCAGAGGACAGGTAGCAGAGGACAGGTAGCAGAGGACAGGTAGCAGAGGACAGGTAGCAGAGGACAGGTAGCAGAGGACAGGTAGCAGAGGACAGGTAGCAGAGGACAGGTAGCAGAGGACAGGTAGCAGAGGACAGGTAGCAGAGGACAGGTAGCAGAGGACAGGTAGCAGAGGACAGGTAGCAGAGGACAGGTAGCAGAGGACAGGTAGCAGAGGACAGGTAGCAGAGGACAGGTAGCAGAGGACAGGTAGCAGAGGACAGGTAGCAGAGGACAGGTAGCAGAGGACAGGTAGCAGAGGACAGGTAGCAGAGGACAGGTAGCAGAGGACAGGTAGCAGAGGACAGGTAGCAGAGGACAGGTAGCAGAGGACAGGTAGCAGAGGACAGGTAGCAGAGGACAGGTAGCAGAGGACAGGTAGCAGAGGACAGGTAGCAGAGGACAGGTAGCAGAGGACAGGTAGCAGAGGACAGGTAGCAGAGGACAGGTAGCAGAGGACAGGTAGCAGAGGACAGGTAGCAGAGGACAGGTAGCAGAGGACAGGTAGCAGAGGACAGGTAGCAGAGGACAGGTAGCAGAGGACAGGTAGCAGAGGACAGGTAGCAGAGGACAGGTAGCAGAGGACAGGTAGCAGAGGACAGGTAGCAGAGGACAGGTAGCAGAGGA